GACAGACAGGTCAAAGAGGCGGGGATGGAGCCAGTAAAGGTGAGTGTAGGTGCGGATAGGTCAGTCCAGGGAGGACGGACAGGTCAAGGAGGCGGGATGAGGCTGGTAGGTAGGAGATGGGGGTGGGGCTTGAGGTAGGAGGAGTGGATAGGTGGGAGGAAGGACGGACATGTTAGGGAGGCGGGGACGAGCTGGGCTGGTTTTGGGATGCGGTCGGGGAGGGGAGATTTTGAAGCTTGTGAAGTCCACATTGATACCATTGGGCTGCAGGGTTCCCAAGCAAAATATGAGGTGCTGTCCCTGCAACCTACGGGTGGCATCGTTGTGGCACTGCAGGAGGCCCAGGATGGACATGTCGTCCAAGGAGTGGGACGGGGAGTTGAAATGGTTCGCGACTGGGAGGTGCAGTTGTTTGTCGCGAACCAAGCGTAGGCGTTTCACAAAGCAGTCTCCAAGCCTCCGCTTGGTTTCCCCAATGTAGAGGAGGCCACATCGGGAACAGCGGATACAGTATATATACCACATTAGCAGATGTGCAGTTGAACATCTGTTTAATGTGGAAGGTCTTCTTAGGGCCTGGGATGGGGGTGAGGGCGAGGGCGGAGGTGTAGCACTTGCTGCGGTTGCAGGGAAAAGTACTGGGGGTGGTGGGGAGTGTGGAGCGGACAAAGGAGTCACGGAGACGGTGGTCCCTCCAGAAGGCAGATAAGGGTGGGGAGGGAAAAATGTCTTTGGTAGTGGGGTCAGATTGCAGATGGCGGAAGTGTCGGAGGATGATGCGTTGGATCCGGAGGTTGGTGGGGTGGTACGTGAGGATGAGGGGGATTCTGTTTTTGTTGTTTTTGCAGGGAGGGGGTGTGAGGGATGAGTTGCGGGAAATGTGAGAGACACGGTCGAGGGTGTTTTCGACCACTGTGGAGGGGAAGTTGCGGTCCTTGAAAAACGAGGACATCTGGGATGTCCGGGAGTCGAATGCCTCATCTTGGGAGCAGATGCGGCAGAGGTAAAGGAATTGGGAATAGGGGATGGCATTTTTGCAGGAAGGTTGGGGGGGTGAAGAGGTGTATTCTAGGTAGCTGTGGGAGTCGGTAGGCTTGAAATGGATATCGGTTTCCAGGTGGTTGCAAAACAGAGAGGAAACAGAGAGGTCCAGGAAGGAGAAAGAAGTATCAGAGATGGTCCAGGTGAACTTAAGATTGGGGTGGAAGGTGTTAGTGAAGTGGATGAAGTGTTCGAGCTCCTTATGGGAGCACGAGGTACCACCGATACAGTCATCGATGTAACGGAGGAAGAGGTGGGGGACAGGGCCAGTGTAGCTTCGGAAGAGGGATTGTTCCACATATCCTACAAAGAGGCAGGCATAGCTTGGGCCCATGCGGTTACCCATGGCCACCCCCTTTGTCTGTAGGAAGTGGGCCTATTGTTTTGTTTTATTTTTCCTATTTTCTGAAGTCCTCCTCTGAAAATGTTGACTTCTACATGTTTACAATTCCATGGCCATCAGGTAGTCATAGATAGCTAATTCTAGGTTATATTAATTCATCTGTAAGTCTAGCTCAATGTGAGAGGCATCAGAATTTATCTGGCTCATCTTACCTGACATCCATACACATATCTTATAAGCAAATCACAATCAGAAGAATTATCTCCTATACAAATTTGCGTCTATTCCAATGCAACTTCAATATTTGACTATTCCAATATTCTCCAGGCTGGCCTCCCATATTTATCCTCCCACAATCTTCAGATTACTCGATAAAATTCCACTATACCACATAATGCTCATGCATTACCTTTCAGCTCATCAACAGACTTCGTATTTTGGCATCCCAATGTGACAGCAATCTATGTCTTTATGCAGAAAGATGGAGAACAGACAGCTTGGGCTAATAAGTAACAAAGAGCATTCACAATATATACCCTATAAATCTACTGGTAAGAAAAGCAAATGAAAGCAGTGTCCTGTCCAAAGCAAACTGCCCAGTAGTGAAGTACTAGCAATAGGGCAAGACATGTCATTCATACACGTACATGCTTGATATTGGACCACAAAAACTAGCTGCAGTAGTTTATTTGGCCCACTCAGTCTGCTTTGCCATTCAAAGAGATCATGACTGACCTGATAGTCCTCAACTCCAATTTCCTGCCTTATCACCATAACCCTTCATTGAAAGCAGGAGACTTCCAGGAGGACAATGGAAATGCTTAAACAATGTCCTTAAAATATCCATGAACAGTTAAAAGACTGAATAAAAATAGAGAAGATTAATTTGAAAAGGCATGGGAACTTTCTCAGGAACATGCAGAAGTGAAGTTGAGGCATTGGAGAGAGTACACAAACCACAAAACAACTACTACTCTGCATGTGGCAGACTCTGCGTTTTACGCATTGGACTTTTCAGCCATCTCAGCACCCATGATCAGAACAATCAAGTTGGGCTGACTAAGAAGGAAAGCACTCACATAACACAGGTAGCAGGCAATGGACACTTCCAACAAGGCAGATAATTTTACCATGGATCTTTGGCAGTCAACAGCATTATCATTGTTGAATCCCCCAAAGTCAACATCCTACAGGGTTATCAATGACCAGAAAATGAACAAACCATATAGAGTGGGAAAGTGTCAGATTCTGCAGTGTGCAATTCACTTCCTGACTCCAAGCTTGTCTAAAATCTACAAGGCACAAACCAGGAATATAACAGAATACTCTCCACTCACCTGGATGTGTACAGCTCCAACAATCACAAAGCTCAGCACTATTCAGGACAAAGCAGTCTTCTTGAATGCAACTTATCCACCATCTTCAACATTCACTCCCTTTACCACTGGCGTACATTGACAAGTTTGCACCATCTGCATAAATGAACCAAAGTAACTCCTTTGACCATACCTACTCAAACTAAAACCTCAACTTATAAAGACTAGCACTGAAGATGGGGATTGCTACTGCCTGCAAGTTCCCTTCCAAGCCAAACACCATCCCTGACTTGGAGCCATGTTGTAGTTTTTTGTCACTGCATCAAAATCCTGGAACAATTGTCCTACAGCACCACACCTATTAGTTCTCCAGACAGCCAACAGCAGTTCAAAAAGGTAGCTCATGGCCACCATCTCAAATATAAATCGGTCTTACCAGAAACATTAGATCCCATAAAAGAATAAAACATAAATCTTAAAAATGTGTTCAAATCATTTCAAGGCCTTGACCATCCCTTAGTCTTGGGTTCCCAAAGTTGGAGGTCAGGATCCCAAATGGAGTTCAAGGTTGCAATTTTGAGATTGCAAGCTCTGAGATAACATATATCATTATAAAGATCGGACTGAATTACAACAGTTATGCTCTACCGGGCCCCTACCTCACAATTTTCTCATCTTCTCTTGAAGAAGCTTCTGACTTCCTACTCATAACATATCCCTCTTTTGCTGCCTGTTCACTTTTGTTTGATTACACCTCAAAAAAAAGTGTGGAAATGTTTTCTACCTCAAAATTGTTGTACAAATGTTTTTTACTTCTGGTTATGTTCGTATGTGACGTTTTACTTTTGTAACCAATGTTCACTTATCTACTACCTACATCCCTGAATTTAATACAAATCCTCCCTTTGGTGACGAAGTCAACCCAAATTTACTGCTGAGGTGCCATCAGAAACATGAAGGTTATATTAAATTGTATTATATAAATGTTAAAGGATATTAAAAACGAAATTAGACTCTCGATTTTTAAAGCCTAATTCCCTACATTATAATATTTAACTGTGAAATCATTTTCTTTCCTCTGAAACACTGACAGAAGATTAAAATAGAAGCAATATCCCCCACCCTACATCCGGGAATTATTCCCTCATCGACATGGCCACCGCTACACCTCGGACCTTCCTCTCGTCACAGCCGCTGTACCAACGCTCCCGGCAAACACCGCGCATCAAACAGTCACGAACCAATCGGAAGACGGGAGGTGGCATTGGCGTGTTCTGATTGGATGGTGTTCGCGGAAGCGCACTTTTTAAATGTGTAGTTGAGAGCGGCCGCGGGGCGCTCGCTGGAGTTCGGGCTTTGAATCGGGGGTGGTGGGGGTCTGCAGTAATCAGAGTCGATAGGAAAGCATCCTGATAGACTTGCAGAAAACACGATTCGCCAACTTTTCGTCGGTTTTGGTAAGATTGATTCCAGTCCGTGTCTTAAAAGAATTAGATGAGAAGCCTCCCTGGGCTGAAATGGTCGATGGAGACTCTATGTGGCCGCCTTTTGTGCTGAATTGAACTTGTTCAAAGTCAGAACCGCGATTAATTTGTAAATTAATAGCGCCAGATTTATCTGATTTGATTCACTACAAGTGACAGATCTTAATAAAGTCTCTTGATGGAGTTTGCATCTTTTAAAGGCTGAAGTCTGGCTTTTGTGGGAAATATTCATCGCCCGCCTTGACTTGCCCATAATCTTCGCTCCAGTTTGATTTTAAAGATCTTCTGTGGCTGTGAAAGATAAATTTCCCGTTGTTGTTGTTGTTGTTGTTAATGATAAATTTCCCGTCCGGACAAATTATCTCTGCCAGGGTCGCAAAGGATTTTTAAATTTGGCAGCAGCATTTGTTTTCCCTTCTCCCCAAAGTGACGTGCGTCCGTTTTAAACAAAAACTTTGGGGGAAATCGCTTTATAGTGAAATGTTTCAAACGAAGTTTTGACAATTCGCTGAGAAGTGGGCTTTCTTTTTGTTACCTAATATGTCAGAATCTGCACCCAATCTACCTGAGATTTTAAATATTCGTAACTAGGATTTATCTTTGTTTGAAACTTAGTGTTTCAAGCATAGTTTTTGTTTCAGTGCAACGAATGAAAACTGAATTAGTGAAAAATGACGACGTTTTCCAAAGTACAGTAGGAAATTGTTACCCAAATAGTTGTTTCAGAGGGTTATTGTTTAGGAGACCTTGTTTAAATCAGTGTCTTTCATGTGGAACTTAACTGCATGCATGTGTAAACGGTTTAGCTTAGGCGAGCTCCTTTTTTAAAATATATTAATTATGTAGTTCTTTTCAAAAAGAAAACGGATAAATCACTTGGACCAGATGGTCTACATCCCAGACATATGGAGGTGATATCTGGAGATTGTGGAGACACTGGTGATCTTTCAGAAATCACTGGAGTCACGGGGTCCCAGAGGACTGGAAAATGGCTAATGTAACACCCCTGTTTAAGAAGGGAAGGAGGTAGAAGACAGGAAATTATAGATTGATTAGCCTGAACTTGATTGTTAGTGAGATTTTAAAGACCATTGTTAAGGATGAGATTGCAGATTAATGGAAATGCATGGTAAAAACAGCCTGAGTCAGCATGGTTTTGTCCAGAGGGGATCATGTCTGACAAATATTAAAATTCTTTAAGGAGGTAACGAGCAAGTTAGAAAAAGGAGAGCCAGTGGACGTGGTATATTTGGATTTCCAGAACTTCTTTGATAAGATGACTCACAGGAGACTGCAAAATAAGTTAAGAACCCATGGTGTTAGGGGCAAGTTACTGGCATGGATAGAGGATTGGCTGACTGATCAAAGGCAGAGCGTAGGGATAAAGTAGTCTTTTTCAGGATGGCAGTCAGTGAGTAGTGGAGGTTCGCAGGGGTAATTGTTTGGACCCCAACGATTCATGTTGCGCATTAATGATTTGGGTGAACAAATCAAGGACATTGTTGCTAAACTTGCAATTACACAAAAGTAGTGGAGGGACAGTGGCATTGAGGAAGTGGGAAGATTGCAAAAGGACTTGGACAAGTTAGGAGAGTGGGTAAAGAAGTGGCAGATGCAATACAATGTGGGAAAGTGTCAGATTAAGCACTTTGATAGGAAGAATAGAGGCATGGACCATTTTCTATTTGAGGGTGGAAATGTTTTGGCTATGTGAAGCACAGAGACTTGGGAGTCCTAGTTCAGGATTCTCTTAAGGCTAACATGTAGGTTCAGTTGGCACTTAGGAAGGCAAATGTAATATCAGCATTCATTTCAAGAGGGCTGGAATACAAGAAGAGAGATGTAATGCTGAGGTTGAATAAGACTGCATTTGGAATATTGAGTAGTTTTGGGCCCTGTATCTAGGGAAGGACATGCTAGTGTTGGAGGTGGTCTAGAGGAGGTTTACAAGAATGATCCAGGAGTGAAGGACTTGTCATATGAGGAGCGGTTGACAACTCTGGTTCTGTACTTGCTGGGGTCTAGAAGGACAAAGGAGGATCTGACTTGAAATTTATAGAATACTGAGGCCTGGATAGAGCGGAGGTGTAGAGGATACATCCAATAGTAGGAGAGACAGGGACGCACAGCCTTCGAGTGAAGGGAGGATCTTCAAACTGGGATGAGGCAGAATTTCTTAAGGGTGGCAAACCTGAGGAACTCATTGCCACATAAGCCTTTGGAGGTCAGGTTACCCGAGTGTATTTAAGACAGAGATGGTTCTTGATTACTCAGGGGATCAAGTGTTACAGAGAAAAGGCAAGAAAGGATTGAGACACACTAGCCAGATTGCATAGTGAACAGAGTCAATGGCCCAAATGGCCTAATTCTGCTTCTGTATCTTGTGGTCTAAAAGTACACAACTTTCAGGCCATGATGAAATGTGGAAATGGAACCCAACATTGTTGGAAGTTCGTAGTTGCAAATGTTGAATATCTGATTGTAACGCGTCTAGCACTTGAGTACCTATTTATAAGGAGATCTTCGACAAAACCTCCAAAATTCAAAAGAACCTGGTAAATAAGAAGTATAGGATTGAATTGTTTGGTTATGCATGCTAGAATTAATGTGTTAAAATGAAGGTATTTTGTGTCTACAGTAAGATTTGGCAGATTTATTTGCATTATACTGTTACAGTGAAATTGTTTAAATGAACAAAAAACTCTATTAAAATACAATTTTTGTCCATCTCTGAGGAAGTCTCCAAAGAAATTTCATCCAACTAAATGCTGGGTTGTGTGGTTGTCCAAAAAAAACTTGGCTTTAGAGCCTTTCACACCCACCAAATGTCCCGCAGTGTTTTGCAGCTAATGAATAATATTAAATCCTGGGAGAACTGCAGTCGGCCTGAGACAGCGCTCTACTGAGACAATGAGGTGGATATTGTTGCCAACTAAGTGGACTGTTTTGTGTTGTGCTGGATGGTGTCAAGCTCCTTGAGTATTGTTGGAGTTACACTCCTCCACGCAAATGAGGAGTATTCCATGACACTCCTGACTTGACCCTTGTAGATGATGGACAGGCTTTGGGGAGCCAGGAGTTGAATTACTGCAGGTCTTTGAGCCTCTGACCTGTCCTTGAGCTACTGTATTCATATGGCTTGTCCAGTTGAGTTTCTGCTCAATGGTAACCCCCAGAATGTTGACAGTGGGGCATTTAGTGATGGTAATGCTATTGACTGTCTAAGGGCAGTGGTTAGTTTGTTGCTTATTGGAGATGGTTGTTGCCTGGTATTTGGATAGTGTGATTGTTACTTGCCACTTTTTAAACCACCCACGATTTGAGCATGTACCTGAATGCTGCTGAATGTTGTGCGATCAATGGGCAAACATCCCCACTTCTGATCTTTATGATGTTGAGTGTCATTGAGGCAGCTGAAGCTGTTTGGGCCTTTGGCATGACTCTGACAAATGCGTGTATAAATGTCCTGGAACTGAGATGACTGACCAACAACCACTACCTTCTTCCAGTATGCCAGATATACCTCCAACCAACAGAGTTTTCCCACTCGTTCCCATTGACTCTAGTTTTGCTAGGACTTCATGACGCCACACTTGGTGAAATGCAGCCGTGATGTCGAGGACTGTCACTCCATCTAACCTCTAGAATTCAGCTCTTCTGTCCATGTTTGAAGTAAGGTATACTGAGTTCAGGAACTGAGTGAACCTGGAAGAAATGAAACTACTGTCAGTGAGTGGATAATTGCTGAGCAGATGACACTTGGTAGCACTTCATGGCAACCTCAGACACTTTACTGATTTTTCCTGCTTTTTGTGTACGGGACATATCTGGGCAATGTTGTTGGGTAGATGTCAGTGTTGTAGCTGTACTGGAACAGCTTGGCTAGGGGTGTCACCAGTTCTGGAGCACAAGTCTTCAGTCCTATTGCCAGAATGTTGTGAGTGCCCATAGCCTTTGCAGTATGCAGTGTCTGTAACTGCGTTACATTCATTCATTCATAGAATCCCTACAGTGTGGAAACAGGCCCTTTGGCCCATTCTTGATATTATGCGGAGTGAATGAATTAGCTGAAGACTAGCATCTGATACTGGGGACCTCTGGAGGAGGCTGAGATGGATCATCCACTTGGCTCTTCTGGCTGAAGATTGTTATGAATGCTTCAGCCTTATCTTTTGGATGTTTCAAATCCAGTGATTTTTCAGACTCTGCCTTTATTACGAGGCAGATGTTTATTTGTCACAACACTAGGGTGAGCACTTCCTGTAAATGCCTAGATGCAATGACTGCTGCCTGCGTTAAATGAAAAGTCATTAAAGAAAACCCAACACAGGGCTCTGTGGTGCAGTGGCATTTGAAAATCCACTTCCACAGTTGAGGCCTAGAAATGTTTCCTTTGCTCTTGACTTGCCTCTGGAACGGACAGCAGGAAGTGTAATGGGGAAGCAATTCAGAATTGAGGCTGTGGGGTGGAATTGAGCGGAGGTTTTGGTGTATACAATGATGATATAAGCTTTAGAAAGTTCTATTAGAGGCGCTGTCATCTGTAAAAAGAGCTAGAATCAGCCACAACCCTGAAACGTTAACTGCATTCTCTCTTCACACAAATGTTGCCTCACCAGCAGACATTTTCTAGCATTTTCTATTCATCCCAATTTCTTCTTCCTGGTCACCAGTAGCAGGCATTATAGGGCTTAGAGAAATTTACCATGTTGAGATTGTTTGTTTATTTCCTTGGATTCAACTATATCATCCACAAGTCTGTGTATGCTAAATGTATATTTTTAAATATTTAATCTTTTTGAAGATATTTGCATTCTAAATATATAACATCTTTCATATTTTAACTTCCTACCTGCAAACCAAAGAAAATTGCCCTTTAACATGCCTAATGTTTGACCACTATGGCATTTCTATCACCTACGTTTACTGTCCTCAAACTTCTAAGCTTTCATTCCAGAGACTACTTCTGTGTTCCAGTCAGTTCAACTTTGCAATTTGGAATTATTTTGACATTTAACCATTTGATGTTGATTTGCTGAAAAGATTTACAGAATAATGTCAGAACTAAAAACATTATGACATCAAAAACAGCTGAAAAGACCAGAATTGACTCTTCTCGAAAAATGAAAGCCGAGAGTTGACCTAAGTTTATGATTATGGAAGGTTTTGACTGGTAAAGACCTGGTGGGCGGTGGAATTGTGGGGTGGGTCAGTTAGGTCAGTTGGCTGGTCAGCTGGTGTGTGATGCAGAGTGATGCTAACAGTATGGGATCAATTTCCAACGTAGCTGCGCTTACCATGAAGAATTCTCCTTCTCAATCTCTCCCTTTGCCTGAGGTGTGGTGACCCTCAGATTAAACCGTCACTGGTTGTCTCTGTTCTAATAAGAGAGTGACTCTATGGCTTGGTAAAACCGGTAACTTTACCTTCACTAGCCAAAGAAAATATATCCCATGTGGGACAGTCCACAGGTAGAGGAAACAAATGTGACTATTTTAATCAATAGAAAATTCAGAAGAAACTATTTGCTCAGATAGTATTGGAATATCAAATCATAGAATGGTTACAGTGCAGAAGGAGGCCGTGTGGTCTATCCTAACAACTTGTTGCCAAAAAAAAGCTTTGCTTTGTGTTGCCTTTATTTTTGCTGTCTACTGTTTAAACCGGGTCCTTGGGTTCTTAATCCCCATTGGTGGAAGGATCGCGTCCAGACTGATTACCATTTTAAATACCTCTGTGAATCTTCTCTTAGTCCTTTAGGAGCAGATGAAACCCAGTTTCTTCAATTTATTCTTGTAACCAATATGAACCATTCATGGCAATTTTTTTATGCCTTCATGTCCTTGTTAAATTATGGTACCCAACATTGGATGCTCCAGCTGAGGCTAAAAGATTTTAAGATTTGCAAATGTCTCTCACACGCCATTGCCTGTATCCCATGAGTGACTTTTAAAAATCCATAAAATCACCCTTCTCATGATTTATTTCGTGACTATTCCTAGCTGCTGAAAATTGTCATCAGCAAGTTGGGGTGTTCCCTAAAGTCTTTGTTCATGTTGGTTGAAATAACGCATGGTGGTTTTATCATTGTTCCCCTTGTGGTCCCACTGGTGCCTGAATAAAATGCAGATCTGTTGCCATTAATGAATACTTGCTTGTCTCATCAGTGACACTGAACATCCTCAATTTTTTTGATTTGTTCTGCCTCTGTATTTGTATACCTTTGTGCTTTTCTGCTTATCTTTCCTGTAACCATTCATGGCCTGTTCCATGAATAAGTTACATCATGGCTGACCTGTTCTTCAATTCTATTTGCCTGCCTTTGATTCTAATCCCTTGTCTAGCAGAGTATTATCTCCATCCTTAAAACCACCTCAATGCCCCAGAGTCTGCAGTCTATCAGATCAGATCACTCCAGGTTTATAGAGCCATACAGCATGGAAAAAGACCCTTCGGTCCAACTTGTCCATGCCGAGGAAGTTTCCCAAACAAAATTAGTCCTATTTGCCTGCACTTGGCCCAATCCTTCTCAAACTTTCCTATTCATCTACCCATCCAAATGCTCTTAAATGTAACTTTATGGGCGGCATGGTGGCTCGGTGGTTAGCACTGCTGCCGCACAGCACCAGGGACCCGGGTTCAATTCCACCCTCGGCCAACTGTCTGTGTGGAGTTTGCACGTTCTCTCCATGTCTGCGTGGGTTTTCTCTGGTTTCCTCCCACAGTCCAAAGATGTGCAGGGTAGGTGGATTGGCCATGCTAAATTGCCCATAGTGTCCAGGGATGTTTAGGTTGGGTGGGTTAGACCTGGGGAAATGCAGCGGCCGGGGAATGGGTCTGGGTGGGATGCTCTTCGGAAGGGCGGCATGGACTTGTTGGGCGCAATGGCCTGTTTCCACGCTGTAGGGATTCTATGATTCTATGGCCTGCATCTACCACTTCCTCTGGCAGCTCATTCCACATACAAGCCATCCCTGCGTGAAAACGTTGTCCCTCAGAACCCTTTTTAAATCTTTCTCCTCTAACCTTAAAATTATGCCCACCCAGTTTTGAACTCCCCTACCCTAAGGAAAAGACCTTAATTATGCCCTTATGATTTTATAAACCTCTATAAGGTCACCCCTCAATCTCCTCAGCTCCAGTTTAAAAAAAAGTTCCAGCTTCCCCTTGTAACTCACTCTCCAGTTCCAGTAACATCCTTGAGAATCTTTTCTGCACCCTCTCCAGTTTAATAGTATCCTCCCGATGAGTGGCAGAAGTAGCCCCTGATTTTCCTCTTAACTGAATGCAATCTAATTTTTAAATAGATGGCTTCGAACCCCCCCCCCCCCGCTACCCCCCCAATTTCCTCAACAGGGATGAGGTAGTTTCTCTACCTAACCTTCCAAATCCTTGCAATACTTCTGTTAGAAGAGGGAAAGACTAAAAAGAACTGCAAAGGGACATGTTCTTTTATCTCATCTGGTGTTTTGAAAAGTAATACTCTGCTGGATAAATTGTTTTGGTAACTCATGCACGAAGAAAACTTGCCCAAGCTTGGAAACAGCACAGTTTTCTACTGTATGTGAACCACATGAGAAATTGCTAATATAAATTTTTCTCTCATGCAGGTCCTCTTGTGAACCAAAACTAAAAATGTCAGTCCCAAACTCTTCAAGCAAAAAAGAAGAAAAGGGCAAGAACATACAAGTGGTTGTACGATGCAGGTAATGGAAACAAACATCTTGTGTTACAAATTTTGTGTAGTGAGACCTGAGTTCTCAAAAGAAAGAACTTATAAAGCTTTCATTTTTAAAATAAAAGGCGCTAATTGTATTGGAAACTCCTGAGAAAGATGTCTCGTCTTGTGTTTTGCTACTTCCGTTACCTGGAAAAGCAAACTTGTGGCTTAGTTAGCCATCTAAATGAGTGCGACCCAGGTCTGACTCCTAGTTTGTGCTGAACTGAAGCCAATTCAATTAAGCAACAGAGTCTGCAATAGGAATCTGTCCTCCTGGACTAGCGAGGATTAATATGCACCAGAGCTTCTGCAATCCAGTGAAGCTCCTTCAATGTATGTCCTTTATTGAAGAAGGATTGAAACTCTGCATTGGTATTTGAATTGTGAATAGTCTAGAATGCTCTGTGCATGAACTCAACCATGACCAATGGATACTTTGCCCACAACATGCTGCAGTGTAAGTAGGTGTCTTTTGGATGGTTACTGATGACATGTTTAAAATAAATTAATCTGAAAATCTAATTCCATGTCTTTTTGTGAGTTGTGAAAAGAAATCTCTGGGGAATTGGAGGCTGGTGGAAAGTGGAGAAGCCTCACGAGTATTGTTGATAAAGCTGTGAGTGAATGGTTTCTTCCCTTTGCAATGAAACAACAAATGTTAACGTATGGTTCTTTATAAATTTGTCAGCCTGCAATTAGGAAACTTAATAAGTTCAAGTAGCGCAAAGTTGCCTACAGTCCGAGGGTCAGATTTTCACAGTAATTTGGGCACTTGTGAACTTCAAGATATCCAGTTTGTGTTTATCTTTATAGTTTCATTGGACAACTTTTTGCCATTAAATTTAGGATGAAATATGTAAAATGTTTAATTTCCCCTGATTAACTAATATTAATGTTGCATGTAAATTGACCTATATGAAAAGGGGTCTTCCATTTCATTCTAATTTATTTTTCTTTTCCAATTTTGAACTACTGTCTTGTGTGTTATCTGCTTTCTTTGTTCTGTTTGCTGATGCTCTCTGCTTGCCCCTCGGTCTGATCTCTGCTTAGCAAGCATTAATTTCTCCAGTTAATTTCAAACATGGGAGAGGAGATGTGTAAAAATGGTATTTCAAACCTAACCGAGAAAGAAAAATAGACTTTCTTCAGGAAACACTAACAGGCATGATTTTATATTTATTGGAAACTCCTGAGAGCTTAAATTTTTAAGTTTTTAGACTTCTTGCTTATGAGTTGAAAATTCTCATTTGTCTTGCTGTCATTTCTCAGCAGAAATTTTTAGTTACATCACTGAGCTGAATAACCAGAGATGAAATTCAGTCCGTGTCTCACACAGTTTTACTTCAGTGTCCTCTGTTAGCTATTATATGATAGAATTAGCAGTCCTCCTGTCTGAGATCTGACATTGAGGTTGTATGCCCTATGAATTGAACTACATTAAATGAAAGATTTATGTATTTCTTTCTTTCTAAGAAACTTTGCCACTGCAGATATTAAAATGTTGTGTGGCGTGTGTTGTTTTCCACAGACCGTTCAGTTTAGCAGAGCGGAAGTCAAACTCCACCAGTGTGGTTGATTGTGACACCATAAAGAAAGAAGTTACTATACGTTCTGCTGGCCCAGGAGGTGAAAAGGCACCCAAAAAGTATACATTCGACATGGTAAGAACGTTGGTGTTTGTTGCAAAATGCAAATCGAGAAAATACCCATGAGTGAATGCTTAACAGCATATTTTTAATTCCAGGTATTTGGGCCTTCTGCAAAACAAATCGATGTATACAAAAGTGTGGTATACCCCATCCTGGATGAAGTAATCATGGGATACAATTGTACCATTTTTGCGTAAGTTGAATAATTTTTCGATATCGATAGAAATAATGAAATCAATCTTCTCTGCTTTGGATGTTGCCTCTGGGCCACATTTATTTTCCCACTAGCTTGTTCATTTTTAGTCAATCCTCCAAAATCTCAAAGAAAATGATTTTGTACAAGATTTTGATGTTGTTTTCCTGTTGCTCAGCTACCTGTCATATAAATTCATGTTCAAAGTTTTGAAACAAGCAGAGATCTCGTTTCTTGCGCATTTCAGACATGTACCTCAAGAATCTACCAGATTGTAGAAGTGACCCATAAAAATTTACTTTGTTCGTTGACTAATCATCAGCCAGTTAAAGGTGATTACAGGTAATGTTTGCCAATAAGAATACCAGGAAACTGACCAAGGCAATCTCTTCTTTTCCTTTCCAAAGCTGCTACTTGCTTGGCACCAGAAAACCCCTCCATTCAAAAGCTTCAGTTTTCATTTGCCTTTTGTTTTTTGCTTTATTGACTAGATCATTGGAAACAACATAACCCAGCCCAATCCTGTCTTCAGCAGGGAACCCTTGCCAACTCTTCCCTTCCTGACATTGCAGATTGGGTACCCAGTATAGCATGTCTACTGTTGCTCCAACTGAGGGCAGCTAAAATGGCTGAAAGCTGGGACTTCTCCACACTTTGTGATCTGGAGATTAATCGCTGCACATGTTCTGAATGTTTGTTCCTGCTTCATGGTTGTGGCTGCTCCTAAACTTCTTTGTTAAATTTGGCTCAGGTATGGACAAACTGGTACTGGAAAAACCTTTACAATGGAAGGTGAAAGATCACAAAAGGAACAATACACCTGGGAAGAAGTAAGTGATACTTTGGTGGTTATAGATCCCAATAATGGTTAGTTTTCTTTTGCAGCTTATTCCTCTGTTCCTTTTGGTTGTGAAAAGCTGGGCATTTGAAATTCTGTTAATAGTTTGTAATGGTTTTACCAAAAGTATTTATTTGTAAATTAATATCCAAGCAGTTCACTTTGTTTCTCCCTGGCTGAAGTAGCGATGGTGATTGACAGAATTAATGAAGTCAACATGGTCAAAGTTAGAACTGGCCTCCTTTGAATAAAATGCAGCCAAATTCTTAGCAAACAAATGGATTTAAATTTCAGAAGTTTTCTTATGAATGCAAGAATAAATATTGTATAAATTATTACAAGATAGAAAACTTGCCTTTTTAAAGTGTCTTTCACAACCTCAACACTCAAGTATTTTACTGCTAATGAAGTGCTTAGTACAGTCACTGATGTAGGGAAGTGGCAACCAATTTCAAAACACAAAAATTCAAAATTATCAAGTGGACATGAATAGTTGAAACAGTTCCTGTACTATGAAGAATAGAGCAAATGTGTAAATTGCCTTTTTGCCAATGTCCAATGCCTTGTTTGTATGCTTAACTGCTAATTTACTGGGCATGGGGAGAGGTCTTGGGTAGTAATCACTGATTATTTATTTTGTTACCGAGGCTTCACTAATCCTATGTTCAAAATTACATTTGAGGCATACTAAGTGAGTTCAAGGCATGGTGGTACAAAGTTATTTAAGGGTCAAATTTCCACCTATTTGAAGATTTGTTGCTGGAGTTTTGCCATTTGAAGTGCAGGAAATTGTAACTTTAAAACTGTAGCCTTCCGTTTTGACACGATGCATGTTGCCGATGTGCTCAGACTGTATGATCTATTTGAGCATTTCTGGTTTTCCATTCCAGAAAATTAATGGCCTGTTGATCCACAGGAAAAAATATTTTGATAGAGATATTGTGAACAAACTATTAAAATCGAGCCATTGATGAATGAACATTGCAGTGTTATTCACTCTCTACTGGGTCACAAACTATAGCTGCCTCATTTCCAGAAATCACTTCTTTAAAGAAATGAATCTGTAATTAGTTGAAATAAGATTTTTTGGATTATTTTCAAAGAGTGGTTCTAACATTACAGTTTTTACACATCAGAAGTACTACGTTTGCTTTAGAGCATTGTCTGAGAAGGTGAAATGTGTTATGTAAAATTTTTAAAAACTGTGAACAGTATCTTTTATTAATCCCTTTGTCATTAATGGATTTTTACAATATTTGTGCTCTCTGTAGGATCCCCTGGCTGGAATTATTCCACGCACACTGCATCAGATTTTTGAGAGGTTGGCATCACAAGGCGCTGAGTTCTCTGTGAAAGTTTCTTTGTTGGAAATTTATAATGAAGAGCTGTTTGACCTTTTGAGCCCTATATCAGATGTTAATGAGAGGCTGCAGATGTTTGATGATCCCCGCAACAAGGTATTGATTTTAGTAATTAAACTGTGCAATCATTACCAAATTTGCAACAATCTGATGCTCTAAATAGATTGCTCTTCTCTCTAGAATGTAGGCCTCGGTGAAATTATTTTTATTTTCTCTCTCTCTCTCAACTGTCTCTCACCTCTCTCTCTCTCCTTGCTACATGTTAGAGGGGAGTTATCATCAAAGGACTTGAAGAAATTTCCGTCCATAACAAAGATGAAGTTTATCAAATTCTGGAGAGGGGAGCAGCAAAGAGGACAACTGCAGCAACTCTGATGAATGCATACTCGAGGTATGGATGATTGAGTCTTGTCAGAAGTTTCTAAGAGTAAATTATGCACACAAAGGGCTTATGCAGGTGGATGAGATCTTGCAATAGGTAATTGCCAATTTGCTAACATAATATGACCAGATATATTTCAGAAATTTTAACAATTTCAAATTTTGTTGGCTTTTGCTTTGTGCTGCTGAATTTTGAGGTTTGGGTATTTGGAACGTGCTCAAAAACTAGGCTGAAAGCTGTACTATACCTTTAATATTATCTTTCACAACAAACTGCTTTCTTATTGTTACAACAGCCAAATTGAATGACCAAAGGTCATGTATTCCAGAGAGAGCTGCTAAGGCAGTAAGTAGTTGTAAACTTCCTTAAAAGAAGTGAAGAGCATCATCTTGTGTTTAACTTTCAGTTTGCAAACTTTCTTTCAGTCGTTCCCACTCAGTTTTTTCCATTACAATCCACATGAAGGAAACGACACTCGACGGGGAGGAACTAGTAAAGATTGGCAAGTTGAATTTGGTGAGTCTTATTTTATGCAAATTGTCGTTAAGGCTTGTGTATCTCCTATTTCGTTGCTGTTTAAAGCTTCTGTTGGAAGGCACAGACTCTAACTTGAATTTGCGGGCTTCATATAAACTTCAATGTGTGCAATTGATTTGTAAACAAAAAAAAAGCTCGTCAGGGTTTTGGTGGAATCATTAGCCCATGGCTGTCATGTGGTGGGCATGTCTTTTTCCCACGTACATTCCATTTGTAAAATAAGTCACCAATGATGCTGGAGATTTTGTTAAATTTTTAACATCCAGGGAATGTTCAATTCCGATACTTCTCATGTTCTTCAGATGAGCTTTTTTTCAAGTGTGCTTTATTTCATGGTTTGTGCTGTCACTGTCCATATTTAAAGAATGAGCAAGTTGGTGAGCTGAAGTACTGCAGTGAGAACAAAGGTTCCATTCTTTTATTTTCAGTTTGTACTTGGCTTGCTAGCTTCAATATTTTTCTTAGTTTATTGCTTTAGTTATTCTGCTTTTTTTTTCAAATTGGCTTCCAGCAATAGATACTCTAGTTTTTTTAATTGCAGCTAGAATAATGACCTTGCCACATTTATCTTCTTTATAAACCTGCTTCCTTGATAACTCAATGGTGCATGGAATGTGTATCTGAAAGTACAGGTGCCAGCTTCCATCACTGGTCTCTTTGCCAAGTCTCCTCTCTCTGTCCAGTGAGGCACCACAATTCTGCTACAAGCCTCCTGTTAGGGAGTACATAATGGGCTGAATTCCTAACCGAGATTAACATCTGATGATCTTGATGCAACTGTGTCTTTGTATAACATCCATTCAGGAATGAAGGGTTTAATTACTTCTCTGGTCACATAATTTGAAATGGTCATTGAAGTTTGAATGACAAATGATAGCTCAAGTGAGATGCACAAAATTAAAATAAAATTGGTGACATAAACTTCACAGAAAAAAAAAGTTCTGAACACAACATTTTGACTCCTTTGAGGCTGTATTACAGTTGTAATGATAATTAAAAACCGATTGGGAAAAACTTTGTGGGGAAAAAAAATCAACTTTTCTATTAAACATTGCTTTGTTCAGTTCAGAAGCAACTTTTGGACCAAGTTGTCAAGTATAAAACAGTTTAATTCCATGAAGTATAAAAGATATTCCTCCTTGGCAATTGAAAACATTATGCTGCAATATGCCATAAATTGTACTCAGCCTAACTTGAAAGTCAAAACTGTTGCCCAAACCTGCCATTAGTCTGCAATCAGAAACAGTGAGCAAAATCGTCACTGAGTCCAATTATTTCTTGACTCTGCAAAGGTGGATCTTGCTGGAAGTGAGAATATTGGCCGATCCGGAGCTGTTGATAAGAGAGCTCGAGAAGCTGGCAACATCAACCAGTCATTGCTTACTCTGGGCAGAGTAATTACAGCGCTGGTGGAGAGAACCCCTCATGTGCCATACAGGTAAAAACCAAATCGCCATTCAATAACTTGACTGTCAACGAAAGGCTCAACAGGTTTTGTCAGGAGCTGCTTGTAAATGTAATGGTGGTATCTCTGGAGTAAACCTCTGGTGATTGGCTTTTGATTGTAATGACCATGACTTGTGGAACCTGATGCTGCAGTAATGTGCATTTGCTTTAGACATTTAGAGATAATGACTTTTGTAGTGCAAAGTTAATGAGATCCTACTTTTCTATTTGTGACCTATGCCAACTAAATGTTACATTGTTCTGTGACTCAACCAACGAAATGTTTTATTTATTGTGATTGAATTTTTAATCATTGAGTGCATTAAAACCTGGCTTAATAAGTTTTTGAAGATGTAGAATGGATGTTACTTGAATTTTCCAATCAAAAGTAAAGATGGATAAGGTACAGAAACTGGATAGATTCAGCTTTTTGAAAATACAGACCTTCTCAATTTTTAAAAAATTTGGTCATTTGCAGTGTTTAAACTATAGAATTGAGGCAGAAATACATGGCACAATTCAAACTTTCTTAAATGACAATCTTCCTCTCTCCTGTACATTTTCAGAGAATCAAAGCTAACTAGGATCCTCCAGGACTCTCTGGGTGGACGGACTAAAACATCCATCATTGCCACCATTTCCCCAGCGTCTGTGAATTTTGAGGTTAGTATAACCTCCTTTGTTGTAGTGATCAAGTGACAATTATTCTACATAGGGTAGGTTTTAATCCCTATTGTTCTCGTGTGCTGTTTGCCTCTAAAGTAGTTTTCAAATCATTTCATGATCGTGTTATCAGTTCATAATGAATGCCTAACTGGAACTGACAAGTTTGTATATAATGGACTAATCCAGTCTAAATGTCCCTAAATGATAGGAAACGATCAGCACTCTGGATTATGCCTACCGAGCAAAGAACATCTTGAATAAACCTGAAGTCAACCAGAAGCTCACCAAGAGGGCCCTGATTAAGGTATTCCGCATACAGCATCTGACTAATGCAGTGTTACTTATTCATTCAAGAAAGGAACATACAAAAGTAGGCACATGGGATTTCTCTAAAACCATTGATTCGAAGAAATTCTTATAATACTGGCTGAAAGGTAATGCCAGAATCTCCATTGCTTGATGCCGAAAATTCTAATTTAGGGGCAACTGTCATCTCACTGTGGTAGACAAAACTCTTAAAGCAGAGGCAGACAAGCCTTTCTCTCTGTACAGAGCTGCTGGTATTTCCTGTCACAGTCTCCCTTTGTCTTGCCCTGGGATGAGTACTGACCGTCTCACTGACTCTGAAATTTGGATAACCCTGCACAATTCCATAACAGAAGCTGTGTGAGTGCAGAGAAGAGTCACCAACCTGTCTGATCAGTGATTTTTTGAAAAATGTGCTTAATGTTAAATATGTACAGCAATGGCATCTTTTACAAGATATAGCATTGAAGTGCATTTATTATTTTTTGCTTTTCTCCTGCAATCTTTTTAAAATGTAATCTGCAATAATGCCCACAATCATTCTCTTTTGTTGTGCTATCAACTGCTCATGTTTTTTTATAAGAGTCTTAAATCATTGCATCTGGTATAATTGTATAATTGTGCGTTGCTTTTCAGGAATACACAGAAGAGATTGAAAGATTGAAGCGGGATCTTGCTGCAGCACGTGAGAAAAATGGAGTGTACATGTCTGCTGAAAACTATGAGTGAGTATATTATCTGTAAGAACAGGTGCTGGGACTCTGAAAAGCCATGACCACGATACAAAGCATCTGAGCTTTAACTTTTGCAATCTGTTATAATTTCAGATTGATGCACTCTAGGGTAATTTTTGCAAGATGAGATTCTAAGAGCAGAGTCTCATTTAATACTAATATCGATGGGGGGTTTGCACTACAATTTGCAATGGGTTAAACCCCCTTTTAGTCAGATTGCTGTGTGCCATTTTTTTCTTGCAAATGGTGGGGGACTACTTAAATGCAAGTTTGGTGTGGTTAATGATGCTACAGATTGTAATGAATAATGCATTAGGACTGATCTGTCACTATCGCTTTATCTTCAATGTGTATGTGTGGATAAATTCTTAATGACATATAACCTCAGCCATGGGGCTCACTGCAGTGTTACTGAATATATTGTAATTGGCCAGAGCAAGTTGCATTTCAACTAAAGTGATAGAACCTTCGGTTTTCTCCGTCTTGTACGAGATTAAAATGTCCAGTTTGATCCCATTCTCTTCTGGATGGAATTGAATTGTTCAAACTGATCTTCAATATGTAGAAAACGATCAAAAGCATGCATTAAGGAGATTGCTACAGTGATACTCTGGTTAAATATTTGATAGGGAACAGGTGCTGTTTATTCTGGAGCTGTAACCTAACTACATATTTTATTTCTCCTCCTTAGATTTGTGCAAAGTAAGGTGGCTGCTCAGGAAGAGTTAATTACTGACTATGTAGAAAAGATTGCTGTCATGGAGGAGGAGCTGAAACAAGTAAGGAAACCTAATGGAATACTCTGGTCATAAAAAGCTGCTACATAAATGCAAGTTGGTAAAGTGGCAACAATCAAAATTATGTCAAGTCACAGTGACGGTAGACAGAGTAGCACAGTGGCTCAGTAGTTAGCATTGCTGCCTCATAACGCCAGGGACCCGGGTTCGATTCCAGCATCGGGCAACTTCCACATTCTCCCCGTTTCTGCGTGGGTTTCATCCAGGTACTCCAGTTTCCTCCCGCAGTCCGAAGATGTGCAGGTTAGCTGGATTGGCCATGCTAAATTGCCCATTGTGTCTATGATGGGAAATGCAGGGATCGGGTAAGGGGTGGGTCTGGGTGGGATGCTCCTCGGAGGGTCAGTGTGGTCTCAATGGGTGGAACGGCCTGCTTCCAGACTGTAGGGATTATGTAAGTCACAAATGGAGGTATCACTACATAACCAGAAGCTTGAACAAATGGGTAGTTTGAAGAAACACAAAAAGGTTTGGGGAAGGAGTTCCAGAATTTGGGGTCAAAGCAGCTGAAAGGCTGGCCACCGTTAGTGGAACAATCAACATCAGGGAAACATCAAATGTCAGAATTGGAGGACATCAGAGATGTTGAACCCTTGTAGAGCTTGAAAGGGGCTACAGAGATAAAGATGAGCAAGACTGGTAGGATTTGAAAACCAGGGTGAGTATTTTATAATTTGAAGATTTTGCCAGGGCAGCAGCACATAAGTGAGCAAGCAGACTTCTGTTGGGTGAGTGGAACCTAAAATAACTCTGCAGGCAGTGGAGTTTTGAAAAGCTGACATATAAAAGGGCAGAAGGTTAAATAGTCTGACCTTGAAAGTTAAATAGTCAATGATTGAGTGATGAAGATATGAATGATGGTTTCAACTGGAGCTGAGCTGAGGCAGTGTCAGTCAAATGCCCTTATTAATATGGAAAGGAATATTGAACGATGAAGTGATGGTGAGGTCCAGGTGTCAAACCATTTGTCTGTGCCCCAAGCAGTTACTGGAAAGAAGGATGAGAACAATTTGAGATGGAGTCCAAACACAGTGCCTTAGATCTTTACAACATTTAGCTGCTGCAAGTTTCTGCTCAATACTAGGTGTTGAACAAGTAGTGTGTTAAACCACACACAAGAGACGAGAAAGATGGTGGTGAGGGCAGCTAGTTCCATCAGCATACGTGTAGAAACTTTTCTGGATGAATTGCTAAGGGGCAGAATAGGGATGGTGTTGAGCACAGATCACTCGGTAATGCAGGCATTTTTTTAAGAAAGAGAGTTGAATTGATTTCTTCAAAATAACATAACCAATCACATACAGGAAAGGTTCATATAGGCCGTTGTTTAACATGGTGGTTGGTTAGGGTAGGGAACTGAACAGCATCATGAACTTGCATGCTTGCGTTTTTCCTCTTTCGGTTCCCAGGGCCTACACTCTGCAATTCCCAACCTAAAACACTCTACTTCTCTCCTCTTTTTAAGAGTCTCTTTAAATCCTGGCCCTTTAACCAAGCTTTTAGTCCCTTCCTGGAGGCTTGGTGATGTCAACGGTTGAGAATGTTTCTGGGAAGCACCGAGATGTTGTTATAAGCTCTGGACACAAACTACCATAAAATATAGGAATAGGATTAGGCAATTTGGCCCATCGAGCCAGCTCTGCCATTCAATCATAAGTAATAAGTTTCTCAGCAAGCTGATTTGTATGGATTATCTAAATTATGTTTGGGGAATCAACCTTGTTGCTATTATCCACCAGTTCAGAGTGAAAGGTGTTCAATTATCCCAGATCTCGAACCTAACCTGTTTGTGGATTCCCCAGTGTAGCTGACTGGAAGCTATGGAGAAGGCACAAAATATTGTTAGTACAACTGGGACCTGCAGTGGTTGAAAAAAGGAACTGCACTAACATTATATGGTCGTGTGGCTTAAGTGATTGTAATAGTTTCTTAACGAGTGATCAAGAAAGTAGGCTTATGTGGCATTTCAGAAATTACATTTCATGTCTTATTTGTTTAAAAGAAAAATAGCATCAATCACTTGGGTCTTTTTTAATATTCTTTATCATTTTGCCAGATAGAAAAGGCTGGCTATTGAGCTATTTACATCTGTATGTTTGTCTAATTTACTGTTATTCTCACCACTTAACTGCTGCACAATTTCTTAAGAATACAAATGTAGTTTTTATCTATTTATTTCATTTCTAGATCAATGAGCTATTTTTGGAAAACAAGAAGGAGCTTGAACATTGTACATCTGAACTGCAACAGCGAGAACAAGTACTTCAAGAGACTCAGCAAGACTTGGAGATGACCAAAATAAAATTGTCTGAGGAAGAATTTATGTGTGATGCTCATGCCCACACTGAAGAAAAGCTCTATGACACAGCCAGTGAGGTAGGAGGTTTCTTGATTTCCTACTGCAAAGTTATAACCAGTACCTACCATAAGGTTGTGACCATGGTGAGCTCACCTCATTACAGAACTCTTGAAGGCTCCGTGATGCTGGGTGGTTTGGGGGCATCTTATTGTCTTTAATTGTTCTCTTTGCAAACAAATCTACCTGTTCTCTGAAATGTAATCTTGTTTCGTAATGTGCAGCTTGCTAGCCATAATCTTGGTTTGAAATAGGTCAACTGTAATCGTTTCCTTTTTTTTCTTTCTTTTTTGAATTTGTGGTGTTTCCTAAAGTAACTCCTTAAGCTAACTTCCTCCATTATTGCTTGAACCTGACTTTCAACTCCACCCACATACTATTTTATTTGCCTGGCAGCAACGCATTTTTGGGTTTAGTTTTTTTTATCAACTTTGAGTCTTCAAATCCATTTATGCAGCTGTAACTTAAATTTCAATGCAGATTTTTTAAATGATTGTGACAGAAATGAAGATGCACAGTTGAAATTTACCTTGTATTTATTGTGGTATGCAGCACGTGCAGTATTTAAAAACGGGTTAGCCGTAGCTTTTCATTTTGAGAAAAGTCATGACCTCGGAGACCGAGTAGGCAGGCTGGGTGGCTGGCTGTATCAAATTTCAGAAGTTCAAATTTATCAATGAAGTGCAGGAACAAGACCAGACTACTAATGTTATGACAAACAGAAAAGAATGAAGCTCTGCAGATAAAGCAACATTTCTGGCTAGAGAAATAGTTAGCATGTCAGATTTCTGACCTTTTTATCAGAAGCGCATTCCCGAATTTCTTCCATCTTCCCTGATTTGAACGCACAGGGTAATCGCCTCATGCTGCTGTGATGACGACAATACACTTAATATCAAGGAAGTGAAGGCAGAATTTTATTTCAGTTGATCTTTCCAGGTGTCAAGCCTGCTCTATGCTTCTGCCAGTTAACAACAGTTTTCAACTTCACATTCAGCAATAAAAGTTCTACATTGAGAAATTTTGTGTAGTATGTCCCTGGCATCAGAAATAAGCTTCAGTTTTAAAGCTTGCATAGAGGAGACATGGGTGGTTTTGTTGAATGCATCAGAGAATTATGCAACACATGATGTACTGTGCTCACTTGTATTTAAATTAACTACTGATTTAGAGTCTGAGCCCCGATCTGTCAAGCTATGTTCAGTCTGCATTTCAAAGATAAGAAACACATTTCAGCATGTGATACAATGCAGCAACTGCTGTATCAGTGAATTTTGAGCTGAAATCAGTATCTGTTTCATAGCGATCTTAAAATACATGGCAACCATTGTTTGTCTACCTGGCATAAAATATTGTTTACAATATTGTGAAACTAGCAGATGAGTTTAAAAACCCTTTCAGTGTATTGCCATTGACCGGTTATCTGGGGAATTCACCCACCAAACCACTTCTTCCCCTCCCCAACCCTTTTTTTTTTTAAACCATGCATTTGTATCTTTGGCCACCTGTCTTAATGACTGAGTGCCTACTAGATCATTGTAGAATTATAGAATCCCTACAGTGTGGAAACAAGCCCTTAGGCCTGATAAGTCCACACCGACTCTCAGAGCATCCCACCCAGACCCATCCCCGTAAAACCCACCTAATCGACACATCCCTGAACACTATGGGCAATTTAGCATGGCCAATCCACCTAGCCTGCACATCTTTGGACTGTGGGAAGAAACCCTCGCAGACGCGGGGAGAAGGTGCAAACTCCGCACAGACAGTCGCCCAAAGGTGGAATCGAACCCGAGTCCCTGGTGCTGAGAGGCTACTTTGACTACTACTACTTTGACTCCATATCACATCTATTGTTTGATTGTAAATGAAGCACTGTTGGATTAGGTGATGTTGAAGGTGCTGCACAAGGCTGTGTGTGCTGCAAATGCCGCCACTCGATATTGCAAAGGGTGCCCACCTGCAGAGAGAAACACCTGAAGCAGCTGAAAGCAGCGGGCAGTCCCTTGGGCACTGCCAGAAGTTCTGAGGAAATAGCTTTAGGTGAACGCTGTGTAAACTTGAGGATTCTAGGAGGCCTGAGAAAATCACAGAATCCCTATTGTGGAAGCCAGCCATTCGGCCCATCGAGTCCTAACAGACCCTCCGGAGAGCATCACCCAGACCCATCCCCACCCTATCCCTGTAACCCTGCATTTAGCATTGCCAATCCACTTAACCTGCACATCTACGGACTGTGGGAGGAAACCAAAGCAGCCAGAGGAAACCCACATGCGTGGGGAGAATGTCACCCAAAGGTGCGATGGGGTCCCTGGCGCTGTGAGGCAGCAGTGCTAACCACTGAGCCGTGTCAACCTTTTGTTGCACATGTGGAATTAACAACATTGTAGATTACAGAACAGGGGACTCTGCTCACAATAGAAAGCTGTGACCTTATTTTAAAATGTGAAATGGAATAATGTGGTGATGACATGACAGTGCTCCAAAAGGAGCACTATTTGGAGTTCCCTTTTCTCCCTCCAACGTCCCAGGTTGTGACTCCAGGCTGCCAGTCCTTCACACTGTTTCATCTCGGTACCCGGGGCAGAGACCTTCCTTGAGTATGGAATCCAGGCATGAATCTGCTGCCACTCCTGTTCCTTCTCACCACCACTTGTTTCAGGTATGCAGCAGTAAACCCACGGCCTGGGTATAGCCTGCCAACTCCACAAAGGAACCCCATGCAGTATCTGTGCAGCAGCAGTGACCTGAACCCCCTCTGCCCAAAGAGACTGTGATGCATGGGGACTGTTAGGGAATTGTTGCGCAAGTGCTTCTGCTGATATCATGCTCAAAACACAGTGACATAAGCACGTGTGCAGTTGCCTCAAGCGTGAGGACCTACTGACACCTACTGGCCCATGTGCACATGTACAGGGGCCACGGTGTGTTCTGGATAGTCACTTGGATCTCTTAACAGCAAGTCAAATTCACACATACACCCACCAGGCACCCCCCACCCAGAACCCGGATATTTTGGTCAGTTATTAACTATTGTGTTCTTGTTTGTAAAGTATTGCTCATTTGTTTCAGTTGCTGCAAACGGTTGAAGACAGTACAAAGGATGTGTCGGGTCTCCATGCTAAGCTTGACCGCAAAAAAGTTGTTGAATTTCATAACTGCAAAGCGCAGGATGTCTTCATGAGACAGATGAATGACCTGTTCACCAAAATGCAGAAAAAATCTGATGAAACTCGTGTGAAGCAGCAGGGAATGCTTGATTTCTATGCCACGTCGATTGGTAAGTTTCTAGTTTAGTTCTCTTTACTTTGGAAGCAAAGCTACATGTTTGTTTGAAAACACATGGAATGAATGTTTCTTGTTTTAAGATGTGACTGAATTTAAACTTTTTTTAATGAATAATAAAGGATCAAATCATTTTATTCTACATTTCAGCAACTTCAGTTTAAAATACTTGACTTAAAATGAAAGTGAGTAAACTCCTAGTTTTCTCTCTTCCTTGCCCCACCCCACAAAAGTTTCTGTTAAACCAGGCCTTCCAAAGTTGTGGAGGTAAATTGCCTTCGTAAATTGCATACAAACTGTGCTATAATTTTGGTAATCTCTCATTCCCACCCTAAATTTACCACGTATTGCAATGGGTCCCTTCAATTTTTTTTCAATTTTATTTGGTAGCATGTTCTCCATACCAGTGGTTCTCGCAAGATGCTGTTCAGTCAGTTAAAGGGGACACGATCCTACCGGAAGAAAAACACTGAAACATGCAACATTGGGTGTGAGTCCAGTACAGTCATGTGGTGTAATTGCTATGGTTTTTTGCTCATTTAGAGATACATCTTAGCTGGATCTTCAGTTAAAATATTGATGGAAAAGTAGAATTAATTCAGAAGGAATCAAGCTGCCCAGCGCTCTGCATAGAACCCCACTTTGAGTATTGTGTTCAGTTCAGATTACCATGACCCAAGTTATTATTGAACTTGGTGATAAGGAAATTTATCAGACCTTTGAGGTTTGACCCTTGTGATGGAGGTCTGAGTTATCAGAAAATTGTGAAAAATCTTAGATGAACTGGCCTCTGTGGTTGACATTTGAGAGGAGGTTCCATAGGGCCGTGATGGGTTTGAAGTGAAATTACAACTTAGAAAGTTAAAAATACAGGGCATTTATTTAAACTAACAGGCAAACTTAGTACTTTTCATTTAGACCTGTGCATGAAATGAACCTTTGGTGAAACAAAACAAAGGAAGTTTTTTAAAAAAAAAAGGTTGATTGAAGTGTGAATCTAATGCATATTTCCCTACTAGTGCACCTGTGTCAGATGTTGTAATTTTAGAATCAAATATGATCCAATAAAGCCCAATGTTCAAATGATATTCCTCAAGAGCCAAATCAAATCTATATTCCACCCTGGACAAGACTTATTAGATCAGTGTTGAAGGCAGGTGTGGCTAAAGGGTTGAATTTGCATCCTTAGCATTTCCAAAGGATACTGATGTCCTCCCGTAACAGGAGGGCAGAGAAATCAACTCCTCTATGGATGCCTGAGGCCCTCTAGTGGAGATTTTCTGCTACTGCCACATTATACTGAGCCCATTAAAGGGCTCAAAAAGCTAAAGCCGATTCTTAAAATAGTAAGAAATAGGAGCAGGCGAAGGTTGTTCACTCCATCAAGCCTGCTCTGACATTCCTCATGTCCACATTCCAGCCCTTTCCCCATAACCCTTGATTTCCCCTACTGATCAAGAACCTATCTATCTCGGCCTTAAATTTACACAAGGACTCTGCTGGCACGCCTCTATACGGCAAGAAGTTCCACAAACACTCGGCCCTCTGAGAGAAGAAATTCTCCCTCATCTCATTCTTAAATTGGCACCCCTTTATTCTGAGACTATGGCCTCTGGTCCGAGACTCTCCCATGAGGGGAAACATCCCCTCAGCATTTACCCAGTCAAGCCCCTTAAGAATACTATATGTTTCAATGAGATCACCTCTCATTCTTCTACACTCCAGTGAGTAGAGTCCCAACCTGTTTAGCTTTTCTTCATAAAACAATGCCTCCATATTGGGAATCACCCTCGTGAACCTTCTCTGAACAGCCTTCAATGAAATGATATCCTTCCTTAAATAAGGGAATCAAAACTACTCTCAGAATTCCAGATGTGGTCTCACCAGTGCCTTGTACAGTTGCAGTAAGGCTTCCCTTATTGTCATACTCTTACCCCCTGGAAATAAGAGCCAACATTCCATTAGCCTTCCTGATCACCTGCTGCACCTGTGCGCTAGCTTTGTGTTTCATGTACAAGTACCCCGAGTCCTTTTGTGTTGCAGCTTTCTGCAGATTTTCTCAATTTTTCTCCATCCTTTTGTTCTCCTTTCCAAAATGAACAATTCCACATTTTTGCACTTTATATTCCATTTGCCAACTTTTTGCCCATTATTTAACCGATTGATATCTCTGTAAACTGTTTGTATACCCTGGCAACCTGCCTTTCCAGCTACTTTTGTATCTTTTGCAAATTTGACTACAATATATTCATTCCAAGACTGGATTAGATAAACAGTTGTCCTCTAGCTGCTTTAATTTCTTGAGTAAACTCATTTTTCTGTTCCCAGGCGAACTCCTGAGTGCAAATGCCTCTGCGTTTAGTTCTGTTGCATCTGCAGTGGGCACTTCTTTTGCGTCTGTCAAGGAAATGGTTTCTTCTGGGGTATCGCAAAGTCTTCAGGAATTGCTTAAGCAGGAGAGTATGACTCAACACTCATCGAACAAGGTCCAGAAGGCCCTGGTAAGCTCATATAGAGATGCATGGGAAAGGAGGGGAGCAAGTATTCTGTCATTATGCTTAATCCATTGTGCCAGTAAAGGGCCTCTTTCTATCCATTAGTTTTATATGTTGCACAGCACCTTCCACACTTTTAAATCTCATTACTTTTTTTTCTCTCCATCCTCGTTTCTCAAAGGTTTCATGTGGAAGCTGTTAAAAATGTGAAGTTTGGTCAATTGTTTTAGGGCTTTCTCTTTAATTTTAGAGTAAAATGAAGGAACAAAGATTATCGCATGACCTGTTTCACATTCTGCCTACCAGCAAGCCTGGGAAATTTAATTGTTAGGTTATTTTGTTGTGAATAAGGTGCATCGTGTTCATCCCTGTAAATAATGATCCAAGTAGCTGTGCTTACAATGGGTTGACTGTCAGTCTCCAAGTCCCAAGAGGAGTTAGAAATGTCATGTTTTGTTGATGTTTACTTTAAACTGTCTATGTCAAGATAGAATGATGTTAGAGGTTTAGAAAGCAGCTAGTTAGCATTTCTAGCTGGATTCAAGGTGCATGTGATTAACATCACCATTGAAATGGGCTTTGAGAGAGGAAGAGAGCGAGAGTCCATAGGAAGCTTTTATAGGATCAGTTGCAGGTTTTCCTAAAAGACGCCTGAACCCCCTCAGATGTCATCAGTCTACAAGAATCAGAGTAGAGGGGCTAGAGGCAGAAAGTGTGTATTATTTGGTACGTAGGTGGGAGCTGATGCTTGGATTAAAAAGCTAAAGTTTTTGAGGATTTAAAAGAAGCTGGAAGATTTGCCTAACTTAGGCTAGAGGGAGAGACTTTAAATGCACTGTCCCGGGGAAAATAGTTGTGGGAGAAGTAGCAGTCATCTAGCCAGAAAAGGCACTGAGCATAACTTTGAATTGGTTCCTGAAGAATGTGGTGCATACTGCAAAGGCAGTGTAATTTGTTACTTTGGAAGGGGAATGTTACATGGGGTTCTTTCCAGTGGTTAAGAGTATAGGTTGCCTTGTCATGGTGTTAAGTCAATATTGCTTTCAATTTGTCATAATCAAGTTTTAAAACTTGAAATTTTGATGTGATCATTTTAGTAATTCAATAGAAGCTCAGTTTTTATTTTTTAAGCAGTTTTTAGTCTGTTTGTGGACTGAAACACAATTCCAGATCAGTGGCCGCTTTGATGCTTTCTTCAAGTGTGTACTTGTATACGAGCTCTGGTTAGTGCTGGCAGGCCTTTAGACCACCGTAGTACATCCACATGTCATTCCAGCATTTAGGTTGTGATCAGGAACTGGTGCTACAGACAGCTTACCTCTCCAAAAGTTAATTCAGTTCAAGACAGTCTTGTGAGCATTAATCTTTTCTGAGTGCAAGCTCAGGGTGACAATTTTTATCCCTACCTTTTTCTGCAAGTCTCTACATTACATTTATTACAGTAACACCAGTGATTTCTTTCACTAATGTAACCTGTTGACAGTTGCATGGAAATGGCGATGTCTGGCTCATGCGGTTGCACCCTATTTAGATTTTAAATCTTGGTTTTCCAGACTTGCACATTTTGACTATGGTCAAGCTGCCTGGGATTGCCAGTTTTAGTGGGGTGTTTGTCATTAAGGGCTACAGATTGGGCACCAAGATGCCAACTTGCTTTTCTCCTGAATCACAAATTACCTTTGCACAAACATCATTATAAATGTCGACAGCTATTGATTTGCTTTCTTCTATAAGCTGGAAGTTCATACTATTCGTAAACACTGAATACATTTTTAAAAAGTATTGGACTTGCCTTAGTTTTGGTAGGAGTTTGCACTCATGTTCTATATTCAGCAGAAACCTTTATTACATTTTCAAGAACCTGGATATAAATTTTTAAGGGACGTAACTGCAGGGCTACGGGAGCAAGAGCTCGAAAGTGGTATCGGGCTGAATCTTCCATTATCAGCCATCACCGGCATAGTGGACGGAATTGGTGGTCTCCTGTAACACAAGTTTCAGTTTCTAGGTGTATTTGTGTTAACAAAGAGCAAACTCGCTGCTGAAAGAGCCATCAAAGTATTATGCTTTGTATATTCTGTTGTCTTTATAGGTTTGATTGAACAGTTTAGTTGACTCCCCTGTGCAGGGCAGTTATCTGAAGAGGAAACTTTTCTAGACTCTTAGTCAAGCTGTTAACTGTCCTTACAAAATGCTCTTGTAAGTGGGACAAGCAGTTAATGGGGTGCTGTGAGGTTTGCTTTTATTGGATTTCCCCTCAACTATGTTCAAGGTTTTCACATCTTTGCTGTTCACTTTCAGGAAGAACATAAACTGGAAATGGAAAAAGAGCTTAAGAAGAATTTACAGCCCATTGTTATCTCTGTAGTGGAACTGAACAATTGTCTTAAGCTGAATTTTCAGACCTATTCTGGAATAGCTGAGAAGGTCACTAAAATTTTCTCTGTCTAGTTGCATGAGTTTCTGAAACACGCTGTCCCATGATCTCTAAAGCTATATTAAACTTTTATCATTTTGGAATTAATTTGCCAAATACTCAGTTCTTATAGATGATATTGAACTTTGACTACTGGGTAATTATGCAATAAAAACCTCCTGATTTAAGGAAATGAAATAATGTTGAAAGCAATTTTATTTGAAGTAAACTAGCAAGACCATAGAAAACTATTTTGTTTATACTTTAATAGATTTTCTGATTAACACAAACTATGACAATACTGAAGGCTAGTCTTGCAGCTAATTAAAACTTATGCTCTGAGGATGCTTTTTAACTTGCCACACCTTGAGTTTATTATAGGAATGCTTTGACTTGTTTCAGCTGGAAGCCATGAAAACGGATACTGACGAATTCTTTGGACAACACAGCAAGATGCTTAGTAAAATACAAGAAACCACTTGCAACGCTCTGGGCAACATTCAAAATGAGAATGAAAAACTCAATCAAGAGCTACAAAAGTTGCAACAAGAGCAGATGGAGGTTCTATGAAACTCAATTGGTTCTGAAGATATTTTTCAGCTTTTTTTCACATCTGTACTAATTTTATGATTCAACTCTAACTCTTTGTATAATAGGGTATTTCAAAAGTCATCTCAAATCTACAGAGTCAGCTTGGTCAGTTAGCCCAGCAAATTCAGCAGAGCTATGATAATATTCAAATACAAAATGGAAATATGCATCAGTCATTGACTCTGCTTCAAGATGATGTGCAGTTGTAAGTAACTAGATTTGCTGCTTGGTTATCAATTAAATTGAGATATGCTGAAATATGCAAAATTGTTATATTTATTAGGTTCTGATGGGTTCACTGGTCTTTTGATGCTTTCCATATAACATCAAATTGCTCATTGCACCAAATGTCATACAGTTTTTTAAAAATTCTCAAGCTTTGCGGTTTGTTTTTAATATAGAAAACACTGAATTTTTTTTGTCTTATTTTGTAAGGCTATCATTTTTATTTTTCCTTAGACAATCTGCAAAGGCTATGGAGAATGCAGCTTCTCACCAAGGGAAACTCCTGACTACTTTAGATGTTTTGGCAAATGAAATCCGAGAAACATCCAGTGAGGGGTTGAAGTTTGCAGATCAGTCAAATATGAAGTGCCAACAACTCAACTCTGGTATGCTGACACTTTGCCAGGAAAGTAGTCGATGGTGTGAATCAACAGTTGGCACTGTTGACATGTTCAGTCAGGAACAACTCTGTTCCCTTAGAGGTAACAAAAGGAGGTTGGAGAACCATGAACAAGTAGGTGTTTTTAACTGTAACCATTTCTTTCCTTGTCTTAACAAATAGTGTCATGTGTATGTTAATTATATTAAGTAAACTTAATTATTCAAAAGGCTATCATAGAACAATTTTTTAAGCTGAAAAAGTGTTCTTTCTAAATACCAACAAGAGCAATTTCTATTTATATAGCTCCTTTAATATTGTGGAGCATCCTGGGATGTTTCGCTGAAACATTATGAAATAAAATTGGACTCCCAGTCTCTCAAGGAGTTGCTGGGGCAGAAAATCAAAGTATTTCACGAGATGCAGGTTGTAAGGAACGACTTAGCAGGGCAGGGATTTGAAGAAGAGAGGGAGATTTTTGAGTTTCAAACCCAGGTACCTGAAGCTACAATGACCAATGGCAGAGCTTGAAAATGAGCATCAGTAGAGAGGCCAGAATGGGAAGAAGTTTGATACCTCAGAACCCCAAGGCTTAAAGGAGATTACATTGTAGGATTAGAAAACGTGATTCAGCATTTTAAAGTATTGGTTAGCTAACTTTGAGCCATAGTGGGTCATGGGAAGCAATGAGGAAAGGGATATATATTAGGAAATATAGGCACGGGCATGTTCCAAACTCTCATGAAATGACAACTGTAACCACACATGGATTATTATTCATACTAGGGCATGGGTGGCAAGATTTTGAACTTTCAAAATGGTGCATTTGGGTTTAATTTAGGCATTTTATAAAATTGGAATCGGGTTCTTATCCTTGAGGAAGGAGTTGTGGTCATGCATTTCTTTTAAAGACCATCGTTCACTTTCTCTTAAGAATGCACTCTTAATTTTCTGCCTTTTCCACAAATCAGAGATACCTTTTGTCTGCCTCTTACAGTCCCTCTGCTGATTCTAATTATAGCTGTAAGCTGGTAGTTCTCTTCAATATAGAAAACTGCTGTGCTCCAGGAATTGCTATTTGATCATGAGAGGAATTCCCACTTCTAGTACTGAGTGAGGTGTTGGAATATGGCACCAGTGTGTACAACACTGTGAAAGCTAATTCTACCCCAAGACTGCAGCCTTTGAGCAGCCTTGAATGCCAATATCTGACTAACTGTGGAAACAAATTGGTAATTATTTACAACAATTGATCATAATGTTCTACCCACCATTACTCAGACCATCTTTATATGCCAGGTTTATTCATTTGAAATTAAATTCCATCAGCAGTTGTGGTGAGATTTGAACCCATGTCCTGTGAGGATTGGTCTGGCCTTTGGATTGCTAGTCCAGTTAAATTACCACTGTACTACTATCACATGCACCCAGTGTGGATTTGCTAGCCATGCCACTCCAGGGCAGTTCGGGCAAAGAATACTGCTTTGCCAGTGACAGCCACATCCCATGAAAGAACAAGAAAGATTAACTTGTTGGTTTAACCAGCATTTCTTCTACTTTAATAATCAAGATTGTCCTTTCCCCTCACTTGTTAGAGAAAGCGAATGTGGCTCAGTATTTTCAGTTGCATATTTATTGATAAATGTTTTGACTGCTATCTTTGATACAGAAGCATTCTTTCTGACCTGTTTCCTTTCCCAATCTGTAAAGCAGCTGCCTTTGCCACCCCTTAATTCATGGATTCTTCCTTCTCCTTCTCCAGCTCTGATATTCTTCTTGCACTTCTAATAATGCCAAGAGTTTTCTCTGCATACCTTTGCCTTTTCCCTTCCCTCTCCACTTGTACCTGTACTCTTGAGGAGGAAAAAGTCATTGTGTGCAGACGTTCTCTGAAGAGTTTGAAAGATCAAAAATTCTAATCTCAATTATTGAGACATCTTGTCCATCGGAACTGATGGCTAGAGAGCAAATTGAACCTGCAGTGCTGATCAGATTAAGCCAAGTAACTTTTGACTCCTATATTATTCTTTTAAATCAAGCTGCTTGAGACTTCATTTATGTTTGCATTGTAGTGATTCATTCTGAACTTTTCAAATAAATTTGTGGATGGCTATGTCAAATGTACAAATATGCAGTGCAGAGAACACTTGGGTATGACTCTTTTAAATCATTTAAAGCTATTTTTAAAAAAATGCAAAACTTAATTATCTTAATACTAGGCACTTGTAATTAATGTTAATAAAAAGTTGACAGTTTTTCAAATCCATGTCTACATTAAGCTACTCTTGAATGTTGACAAAATAAGTTACCTTGCATATCTTTGTTTCCCTTTTGGTAGACTGCCAGTGAGAGTTGTGACACTCTAGTCAGGGAAATAACAAAACAGCTGAAGGAAGAGTCCGATACTAAGGAATCAGCACTATGCATTGTCCGTGATCGGGTTAATGACGATAAAGGTGTGATGATGCAGCATATGACAGAGTTAAGTGAGCACGCTGAGGCAGGACTAAACAATGTCCTGAACTTCTTAAATGAACAACTCCAGCAGGACATTCCAACAGGTATGATCAACCATTTTGTACAAAAGTGGACAGGATGATGAAATGCATATATTTCGGGTTGTTCAACAGTACATAGCAAATAGTGTATATTTAATCTGACCAATCAATGAATTAACTGCTCGTTAACTGACTAATAATCCTACCTTCATTAATGTATCTTAGAATTTAGTTAAGAAATAAGTCCAACTAAATTTCTAGCAGAACAGGGTAAATTTCCATCTACAGGACAGCTAAATTGCTCCCCATTTGAACAAAATGTACCTTCTAATTGCTCTAAACTGGTGTGGAGCAGTAATGCATTGCAACATTTTCTGAACTGAATATTTTTATGAAGCTATACGCTAAACTTTGCATGTCACTGGCTTATGAACTACTTGCTGATGTTTAAAAGCAAAGACCTGGGATTTGATTTTACCTTCTCTCAACAATCTTGAAATGAATTGCTTTGATTACTTCAACCTGTTCAGTCACAACTAGACAAATATTACAGAATAATGACCAGTTGGCAGGGTTTGGTGACTTTGATAGATGGTCGGACATCAGGAGAATTCCCTATTCTGCAAATTTCTCTGGCACATTTTACTTCAGACCATCAGTAAAGACTGTTTAGTTTGACATTCAAAGATGGCACAGCTGATGATGCAGTTTGCACACCGGGAGCTCTGCTCTGATTATGTACTGCAGCCCTGGAATATGTCCTGGCCCATATCTTCTGGCTGGGAGGTGATTGTTTTCTCAATTGGAGCCCGATTGAAATTGTACAGACTGAACAAAAGCTATTGATCTTTTTCTACATCATATTTAAAATTTTGTCTTTTGCTAGCCTTAATGTTTTAAAAGCTGTCCTCCATCTCAGAGGTTCAAACAAGGAAGGTGACAGTCTGTGACTTGAATATTCCTATACTAAGAGTAAATATGCTGTCTTTGGCCCCTTTCCTTGGGCTTAGGGATGGATTGATTAGCTGGGTTCCCAAGCCTGCTGACATGCAGGTAGTATTGGAAAAGTGAGATCCATGTGTGCTTATGATTAATAGTCGCTGTGAGAAGTACTGAATATTGTTTGCTGGTTTTTGACCAATACCCTACTAAGGGAATAGTATGGAAAGTGAAGCATTTTATTCTGGCTCTCAGCTGAAATTGTTTTTTTTTTTTCTGACGATAATTGTGTTGATTTTTCAGGCACCACCCCCCAGCGCAGAGAATATATTTACCCGCGAACCTTCTTGAGAACAGAGCCACGGGATGCCTTGGTTGTTCAGTTCAAAGCACAGCAGCAGCAGCTTCAGAATTCTTTGAATGCTGCCATGTCCATCCAAGAAGAACCTGTTTGTGAGCAGGTGAGTCTAGTTGGTTTAGTTCCTTTTGAAAAGGTTAACTGGAAAATATCTAAAATGATGTCTACGCTTCCCAAATGTTGCCTGTCAGCAGTGCGTTAGACTTCTACAAAAGAAGCTTTTATCCTGTTGTGTGGTACAGGTGCAAAAACATGTGCTTAATGATTTGAAGTTTAAGATCCAACTGAATTGAATATTATAGCTGGCTAAAGTTTTTTTTTATTGTGCCAAACTTGACCCTCCCCTTTCTTACCTGAAGGTACTAACTCCTTGTTTGGAAAGAGTGCCCTGCAGATCATGTCACTTACTCAGATGTATCCCTTGGCTCCAGACTGTTGGCAAGATTATTGACCCAGTGTGTACTTGAAGCACATGCCTAATTTCAGAATGGAAATCAAAGCTTCAATACTGGTGCTCACCGGCAGGACTTAGCACACTCTGATTCTGTCTGTTTCCTGCTGCTGCCATCTCCACACAAGCTGCGATTTCTGATCGAATAGGGAGGATTGGCTGAATTTACTCTTGTAAGCCAAAGATGACTCAACGGATTGCACAGACCAACAAGTATCTTGTTTAATATCGACTGATTTATATGGCTCATATCTATTCACTATATTACAAAAGAGATTTTTATCAGAGAATAAAATATTTTTATGGTGGTTTCTATTAGTCACAGGAGCCAGATTCTCTCTCTCGGCTTAAACAGATTCAGGCATATGTTGCTGAGGTTTTTCTTCACTTTAGTTAGATAAATAGAATTCAATGCTGAGATATACAAATTGTTTTGATTATAGCAGGTAATTTATCAAGCACCAATGCAATTTCTAAAGGCACTCAGATGCTTGTCCCTGCAACACCAGTAGAGACTGCCAACCGTTCTCTGTAATAGTCTCAAATCATTAATTCCAATTAATGTTTCATTTCACCCATCCATGCCATCTTTAGCCCATTTGAGGTCAAGGCATATCTTTATCGCATGAGCCTGAATCTTTCTAGAAACTGTCTTTGAATTTCCACTTTTAAACAGTGTGAAAAGGTTTTCCCTTGAGTCCCAGTAATCCTGGTTGTACTAAACATCTGCACTTCCATTATAACAAGGTGTAGAGCTGGATGAACACAGCAGGCCAAGCAGCATCAGAGGAGCAGGAAGGCTGACGTTTCGTGCCTAGACCCTTCAG